GGATGGTGGTGACGTTAGCCCTACCTCGGGTCGACTTGACTTCTCAGAGGGAGAGACAGAGGAGAACTAACAGTAACCATCAACAATGATGAGGTACATTGTATACCGTCTAGGAGTGTTGGGGTTCAAGTCCAGGAACAGCACTTTCTTGTGCCATTGGTATGCACTTGCCTTGTGTTTGTTGCACAAATTTTGCCGGGTTCAAAAACTCTAAATTTCTTAATTACCTGAGAGGAAGAAAGAGCCTCACTACCCTAGGCGGATTGCAATTTACAAGGCTTATAAACTATATGTTGCTTGTGATTGGCTCTCAGACCCCAGAACTGGAGAAGCATTATCCGTACGTCTGTGAATGCCAGTGGAGGTGCCACAGTCACTACCAGCGGCTCACAAGTAGCCACCATCACAGTACAGCCAGCGACCATCCCTATGTCTCTCACATCTCGCCGGGTTCGACCACTGGTGGTCAGTGAAGATGGGGGAGGAGTGGAGGTGATGGTGACTAGGGAGTTTGGGGACTTGGGGGGTCAGTGTGAGCTAAGCATGACTGTGGAGAGTGGCATAGCTCTCTCCAGGACTTGTGGATGTGGCACAACTTGAACGGAACAGTATTAATACACGTTAACGATCACCACTAGGGGCGCATGCGCAGTCTGCCTGTGTACGTTTTTCTGCACCTACACGCGGCAACGATACAACAAATAGCGATACAACAGGTTCATTTCTACACGGCTTGATTAAAAATAGCGATTTTCGTAGAAGTACTGCGTTTTAAAGTTATGCTGAAACCAAGTGCAAGCCGTGACCTGATCCGCTTGCTCTGTGTGCCTCGGAGGAAAAAGCTACCAATGAAGGGCGTGTATCGACTCCCGCATGCTATCTACTACTGTACGCTAGCCGTATCAGACTCTCCCGCGAGCTACTAGCAGGAGACCACGAGTAACACGCAATCTAGTATAAGCCCCAGCCATACAACGGTACCACGCATGCGCAGCTTCACGAGGATTTGCACTTCAGTGTTTGTCAGTTCTTGACTATGCAAGGCCACCTGCTATGTGTATACATCTACATGAATCGTTTGAGATGTTCTCCCCTGTGAAGAAGAACATGTCACTCAATTCGTTGCAATGGGGTGTAATCTTTTTATCAACACTGGCTGCGCTTTCGGCTTGTCATACGAGCTCTCCTGCTATTCCCACTGTAATATAGAGTAGTATGGCGATCATACTAGTCACCTGTCTGTATATACTATTTGGTAAGAGTGTAACGTCACCATTGTGGGTATTTCGGCGCTCCTGCGCGATTACGCTGACGCTCACCAGCACCTTTGCACATAGGTGTTTCAGTGTATCCGTTTTACGATACCAGCTTGCATGAGCCACTTTGATCTAGCAGTCATGTAAAAACAACATCCACAGAACAAGCACATCTGGCACATCACCACACACACTTCTATGTGATCCTCATAAGCTAATCTCAGGCTCCGCCTTCTCTCCAGATTGATGATCGATTGAACCCATGTCAAAGTAGAGCCTGGGCTAAGCACCCAGAGGATACAGCGTGTATTACTGGTGACTCCCGTGGGGGAACGACGACCCAAACTCCGTTGTTAGAATAGTCGAGCAGTGACGCTGCTTGTTGCGGTAAACAGTATGTGTAAGCTCATGTGCTTACATGGCAAATAGTCTCTCACTCGCCTAATGGCAATCATTTGCTTCGTAAATATGTAACAGCGCCCGATCGTACGTTAAACCTTTTGTCTCTCTTCCTTGCTACCCGCCGTCCATGAATCCAGTTTTCCAGCCCTATGATCGGCCAGGAGGAATGACGTAATCCAATGCGCGCTTAACCAGATCAGTCATCGATTCCAGAAATAGCAAAGTGGTAAGTGGGGGGACCTGCCCGCATTATAGTCCAGTGTGGGTGCCAGCAACGCGTATAACTTGTCCCTGATCAGTGAGAAGTTCTGCAGTTCAACTGGCAGTGGCTGGAGGTGACTACACAGCTAATCATCTGGCAGTCTCATCTCTTGAAGAGGCAGATCTGACAAAGAGCTTCAGCTCTGCTCAATCAGCAGTGACAGTGTTCCTGAACTGGATGAGGTACCATTTCATAGCCATCATCTTCGTGGAGCTGGATCTGACTCTGTGGAGGATGTTGACAGCTCTGCGTAAGTTTAAATGTTCTTCAAACAACTAAACAGTACTCAGTACAGAGTTTTGCTGAGCATTGTAGTGCTTGAACTTTCTTGCATATGAGAAATCTACTGTCGATGAAACTGCTAGTCTACAGCTCACCTTACTGAGCATTTTTGCACTTGGTCAACTCAGTCTGGTTATGGAATTCGTACATCCAGCTAGACATTCTCTGACAGTAGCCAGTCTGTGGAGTTTTTGAACAGATTCTCCTTTAGACATAGCAGTTTTCGTGTCCAGATCTACTTGTCTTCACCAGATCAATCGTCGTTACTTTTTGCTCTTCGGGGCGTGGCAACTTCACTCACACTGCTGAACTGAATATACCACAAGCATATAATGCTTGTTATCATTCAGTTCAGCAGTGTGACGTTGAACGTTGCCACGCCCAATGAGCAAAAGTAAAGACATTGATCTGAAGACAAGTAATCTGAAGAATCGTTACTCTGCGTTGTGATATAGAGCATCATTTTAGGAGTATGTGTGTACCCCCTTTCCATTTAGTACTACCAACTTCAGCCAGTGGTAATGGGAGTCTGGCATTTGTGGTGATTGCTGAAAATGACGATGCTCGTGGAGTCCTGCAACTATCCAGCTCGACATATGAAGCGGAAGAGTCCTCACAGAACTTTGTGACTGTTAGCCGAGGAGCTGGTAGCTTTGGAACAGTACGTCATGCAACACTAATGTCACACATACAGTACTAAACTCATCTTCAACTCAGTTGCTTACCTGTTTCTGGACCACCATACACAAAGCTTGGGGGTTTTCCTTTCCTTGTGTAGTGCTTTGAGCAAGCTGCCATAATAGAACACTGACATGTCAGGTGTGGGTGACACATAAGTCTGATTTCTTTGCTGTCTCACAGGTGACAGTGGATTGGGAGGCAGTTGCCATCACAGCCCAGTCCTCAGACTTCACTCCCCAGAGTGGATCAGTGGTGCTGGCTGATGGTGTCTCCTCCACCCAGCTCCCTCTCTCCATCGTCGACGACACTGAACCAGAGTTCTCCGAGACCCTGACTGTCAGTCTAGTGGGCAGCGGCAGAGGAGCCAGGCTCGACGGCATTCTATCAGCCACTGTCACCATACTAACCAGTGACGACCCCAATGGAGCCCTACGTGAGCAATACAACATCAGCATAGATACACTTCAATGCTTGCAGACAATGTATAAGTTTGTCCATTTCCTGGCTCCAGAGTTTGCCGTGGGAAGTCGCTCTGTGTCAGTGCTAGAGCCAGAGGATGGAGCCTCAGTCTCAGTCAGTTTGGTAGTGGAGAGAACTGGAGGAGCAACTGGTGTGGTGGAAGTCTCCTGGACTCTCACTTCACAAACGGTGAGTCAACAGGTTGGTCCTGCATCAGTGAACTTTAAAGAAGAACTTTTTGCTAATGAACATGTAAGGTTTTCACCTCAGCAGGAATTCAGTTAACAAACAACATAAACAAACTCCACGCATTTCCTACTGTGATTCATAACAACGTCTCCTTTGATTATTATGTGGTGTTCACTGCAGGGGATGATCCTTCGCTGGACATTGTGCCAGTGTTCAGGGACTCTGCCAGTACATCAGTGGAGTTACCCAGCCGTCTATCACTCCTATAATCACCCCGACATCATCCCTGAATTGCTGAGGTATGTATCCCAAGCCTACAATTAGTACTATATCTTTTTCAAATGTGTACTGATCGTCATCTCTGTAGGGATTTACTGTTGGTCTATCGGAAGCAACAGGTGGTGCTAGAGTGGGAGGTTTCGCTAGAGCCACTTGTGACTATTGAAGCCAACGATAGTCCCAATGGTTTCGTGTCTTTCGAACAGTCCCACAATTGTGGCAACAGAAGACGATACTGACACTGTTGTTATGATTCGTGTCGTCAGAAAGGTGATTAATTTCCATACTCTTTTCCCAATACTTACATTTTGTGTTTTTTCTCTCATGAATAGTGCTGGATTGTTTCGCAACATCAGTGTCATCTATAGTACTGCAGTTTCTTCTCCGTCGTCTGCAACAGCTGGAATGATTACGCCTCAATCACAGGGAAGAAGTAATCATTGAGGAAGGATCCTCAAGTGTAAATATTCCGGTCACAATTCTGGCAGACGAACTCCCAGAGCTGGACGAAACTTTCCAACTCAGTTTGGTCAGTGTCTACTTCACCGAGGAAGTCCCTGAAGATATGGGAGATGGTGGGCCTCAATTGGGGGAGATCACTGTGTCGGAGATCGTAATCAGAGAGAATGATGATCCCTACGGGAGATTCCGTATAGCAGGAGGGAGTGGCGAGAGCGTTGTTCGAGTTCCCGAGGCGGACAGTCTCGGAGTGAGTCTGACAGTCACCAGGGAGGCCGGGAGAGTGGGGACAGTAGAGGTTACCTGGAGTGTGAGCGGAACTGCAGAAGAAAATGTGGACTTTGCAGGTAACTCTCTTCCTACAAGCATTAAGAACAGCTCTTTCCCTTTGGAAAAGTGTCGTAGCTCTTTTACATTCGCAAAATGTTGTTCTGGGTCCTTGCTTTGAAACCTTTTGCTCTTTTCTGTAGGAAGTGGAGCTGTTTTGACATTTGATGAGGACACCACACAGCGCACAGTTTCACTCATCATCTATGAGGACACGCTCCCGGAGAGAGACGAATACATCGTTGTTTCTCTGTCAAACCCCACGGAGGAGCCGTCCTGGCATCTGATGGGGGGAGCGAGGCGACGGTGGTCATTGAGGCAAACGATAACGCTGCTGGAATCGTGGGACTCGTGGATTCAGCTCGTTCTGTCATCGTGGACGAGGGGGGCACTGTCAGCCTGGGTCTGGAGAGGAGTCTGGGGAACCTGGGGGTGGTGGAGGTGACTTGGGAGATCTCTGGACCTGGAAACGTGTCACTGGAGTTTGTTCCTCATCAGGGACCGCAACCTTCCAAGAGCGTATGCCATTTTCCCTCTCCCCTTCCTCTCTCCCTCCACTTTCTTTCTCGTCGCTCGCCTTCTCGCTGCAGCTATGGACCTCTGGTACTAACCACTAAATGTCATCTGTAGTGCATCGTACAAATAATCTTTCTCTATTTTACATAATTGGTAGATTCTTATGAATGTGAATGTCTCCATCTGCCAGGGTTCTAACTCAACGGAGATAGTGTTCAGTGTAGCAGCAGACGGAGACACCAGAACTGGCCGAGGAATACTCCCTGAGTCTGACTGGAGTTCAGACATCTCACTGAGGACATTTCCGAGACGGGCAGAGCAGTGCTGGACACCAGTGCCACCATGGCCACCGTAACTCTGAGGGCCAGTGACAACCCTCACGGAGTGGTGGAGTTTCAGGAGATGTTTGTGGAGACAGAGGAGAGCGTCGTCTCTTCCTAACTATAGTCAGAGAGTTGGAGCTATCGGTCAGTGAAATGGGTACCTTTCATCCTGAAACCCCCTGGAAATTCTAAATACAGTTTTCGTATCCTATCTTTCTGAAATGCATCTTCTGCTTTCCTTGACATGGCAGGTGCTGCTTGATGTGGCGTATGAAGCTGTGATGGGCAACGTCAGAACACTGGCAGGCAACTCCACTCTGGCCACTCCAGGGCTTGATTTCAACAACTCCAACAGGACCATTAGACTGGAAGATGGGCAGCTATCAGCAACCGTTCTGGTGCCCATCATCAACGTTAGTTCTCCCTTTTCAGCCTCTTAAACTTTGTAATATGTGACTTTATGCAGGAGACAGAACCGGAGCTGTCAGAAATGTTCCTGGTCCGGTTGAGTTCTGTTACCCTCGATCCCCAGTGAGGAACGGGGATGTCCCTCCATCAATTGGGCACTAATAACCAGGTTCAAGTGACAATCCTACCAACGACAACCCAGAGGGATCCTCAACTTTGTCTCAGAGCAGGTAACACAGACATCCCTTATATAACCTAGTCTGTATACAACAGTATGTGCTCCTCCGTCATAGTGTGACAGTGCTCAGAGGACGTGGGTGAGGTGGAGCTGATTGTACGTCGAGATCAGGGCACCGTCGGTCGCGTGTCTGCCTTTCTCTTCCTCATCGACAGAGGAGCCACACCTGACCAGGACTATATTCATACCAACCTGAGGTAGAAAAAGTGATATCTATGACTCAATGTTGCATGTTCCTTGGAAAAAAATAGTTGTAGTAGGTGTAGTTGTGTTACCTTAAGTGACCTATGTTGATATTGCTTGAACTTCGTTTGCTTTTCACAGATGATAGTGTTTGAATCAGGGGACTCTGAGGAGGCAGTGCTGGTGACTATAGTGGATGATAGTGAGCCAGAGCTCGGCGAGACTTTCTGCATCCGTCTAGAGTTACCCGGGGGAAATGCTGAGATTGGGGACACCCCAGAAGGTGTGGGAAGAGCGATAGAAATAGCACTCCTCGTGTAAATCGTGCCGTTCTCTTCCCAGTGTGTGTGACTATTGACATAAATGACAATGCTTACGGACAGTTCAGTTTTGACTCTGGATCAGTGGCTGTGACAATTGATGAGGCGGGAGAGATTATCACCGCAGCCAATGGTAATAAACAGTAACCCCTACAATAAGCCTCAAATTAATGACATCATTTGCTTGCTTTCTGTTGCAGTTGCTGAGTTGAGGGTGGTTCGAAATGGTGGAGTTAATGGAATAGTCTCCATCCCTTTTGAACTACAGCAGAACACCAGTTATGGTCAGTGAACTAAGATGATAGTAAATTTTAACATCGTATTGCTAATATGCTCTCTTCAGATTTGTCAATCTCGCCTTCATCTGGCCTCTTGGTGTTTGCCGAAGGACAAGACTTTGGAGTAAGTCTGCACTCACAAATTGTTTGGGTAACTTGCACACAATTATACAAACCCACACAGATAATAGGGGTGACTGCTGTACGGGACGACATCCCAGAACTGAGTGAGACATACACGGTATCTCTTCTGGACCCATACAACATAGGAGACCTCTCTGCTGTCAATCACACTGCTAGCGTCACCATCAGACCTAATCAGAATCCACACGGCCTCCTTGAAATCTACTTCACTGATAGGTACATACAGCATTCATACATTGTCCTCTTAGGTTTGTGTGTATACCAATGTGCAGAAACTCTAGTGAGTTAGTTGTTGAGGAAGATGTTCGATATGTTGCACTGGAGATAAGAAGATCTGATGGAACTTTTGGAGATATTTCTGTCGATCTCAACACAATTGCTGGATCTGCTATTTCACCCACTGGTATATAATGCAAGGGAAGAAATCCACACCAAAAATTAGCCACATGTTCTCTTTATGTTCCTCCCAGGTGATACCCTGTCTTTCAGTGTGACACAACTCCTAGACACAACTGGGGCTAGGAAATGGTACCAGTTTACACGAACTGGGACCCACTACCTGTTCCTAGCCGGCAGTGGAAACTCTGTGCTCTATGAATGGAGAGGAGCATTCGTACCTGTGCAGACTCTATCAACTTATGGTGCATCAGCTGCCACCTTCTTGAGTATCGACGGCCGAGATTTCCTAGTGGTTTCTGACTATGAAACAAATTCTACTGTATACGAGTTCTCTGGAAGTAGTCTACTAGAAGAGGTATAGAATTTACTTGATAGACTATAGTTAGCTATAATTATACATGTTCTCTTATACTCTCATTTATACAATCCCAGGTCCAAAGTATTGCTACAGAGGGTGCCAGTGATGTAGTATCTCTGGTGGCACCAAATGGAGTGCAGTATGTGGTCATTGCTAGCAGAGAAGACAACGATGGAAGTCCCAACACTGACTCTGTTGTGTTGGAGTGGAGTGAGGGGAGATTTACTCTCTTCCAGTCCCTAACTACCATTGGTGCTTCGGCCGTGGATGTACTGTCCATTGGAGGGACACAGTACCTTGTCTTCTCCAGTTTCACTGACACGAGGTCCTTATAACCTTCATTGTACATCCAGACTATGTGGCATTTTGTGTTCCCACACGTGCCTGTAGTATTGGCTATGCGATGTGTTTATGTGATTTGCAGGTCCCCAATCTATGTGTGGGCAGTTGATAGGTACAGACTGGATCACAACATAGACACACTGGGAGCCACTGATGTGGAGTCAGTTGATATCAATGGGGATGTCTGGCTTGCTGTTGCAACTGGTGAGTCAGCCAGTTAACTCTTTTTTAAACATGCATCAACTTAATTTTCTCAGGCTCATCTGGAGTTTCACTCTTCCAGTGGTCAGCTGATGATTCCCGTTTTATCTTCAATTCGACTCTTAGCTCAGAAAATGCCCTTAGTGTTGAGAACATTCCAGAAACAGGTTCATCAACATTTTAACCTGAAAAAGAGTACTTGATCACTCTGTGACTATTCTCTCAGATCTCCTGCTGGTTGCCAACAGGGAAGGACCTGGACAACTGTTTTCTCTGTCAATCTTTAGCGAACAGCAGGTACATTTTGCTGGCACCACCACCGTTCTCTGTGAATCTCTTTTTGAACATCTGCTCTCTACTGTAGGATGTGAACCTGCCTGTGGCGCTACATCTGTATCCATTCTCCCTGGGACCCCAAACTGTCTACATTGCATCAGCCGTCAATGGCTCCACAGGGCCGTCCTCCATTGGACTGCTTCAGGAAGTAGACTCAACAACTGACTTTTATGCAAGGTCAGCTCTCCTTTTCTTCAAATTGCTCTGGATGCTACAGTGTGGTATACATTGTTCCTGGTTACAGTTTTCACCAATGCTGTATAATGTAGTAACTCCCCATTTCCCCTCATTTCAGGTCCGTAACACTGACCTTTGCCCCTGGTCAGACGTACCACTACCTGGTGGACGAGATCATTGATGACACTAGTCCCGAGCTGGACGAGGGGTTCAGTATTGGTCTCTCCAATCCCACCGGAGGGGTCGTTCTCGGGACACAGAGCTCTCTAACTGTCACCATCCTAACCAATGACGATGCCTATGGGCTAGTAGGATTCTCTGAAGTGAGAATACAATTTTGTCATCGTCATGCTGCGCATAAACTATGCATTCACAACTGAATGACCCTCTTTGCTTCCGTTGCTTCAATCATCCCTATATCCCCTTCATTTTGAAGAAATGATTTTTCCACTTGTTTGTATAAGCAAAGAGAAGCTGGACTAGTAGCTAATTCTATGATCCTTTTTCCTTAGACTTTCATGTGCTGCTATAGCTTGGTTCATGCAATTTGTTAATCTGTAGGATTCTCTGTCGGTCTTGGCCCCTGAGACTGAGGCCAGCTCCGAGGTGGCCCTGAGTGTGGTGAGGGAGAGAGGGACATTCGGTGAGGTTCGAGTCTCCTGGCAAGTCATGGGAGAACACAGCAATGGAGAGATCTCTCCTACCAGTGGAGAGGTTTGTATAGCTAATAGCTGGCATACTATTGTTCCTAGTTAGCCAGAATCTTTCCCCTGTTCAGCTAGCATACTTTTTATTCCTATAATATAGTGAGCCAGACTCTTTGCTATTTGTATAGCTAGCATACTATTGTTCCTAGTGAGCCAGAGTCTTTTCTCTACAGGTGGTGTTTGCTGAAGGAGTCTCCGAAGCCACCATCACTGTGACCATTCACCCGGACCTGCTTCCAGAGTTGAATGAAGTGACTGTCATAGAGCTGGTAGAAATCACTGAGAACGGGGTTCCCCCTGGATCTGATGCCACTAGAGGAGCTAAGTTTATCTCTGGTCGGACTGAGTCGGTCATCACTGTTCAAGCCAACGATGCACCACACGGTGTACTGGTGTGGTCAGCCACCAGAGTCCAAGTCGAAGAAGTTGACGCTGTGGACAATGTTGTCCAGCTCACCATTCTGAGGGAGTTTGGCAGTATCGGTGCCATCTCAATCACATACAGGTTTGCCTCTCACACAGCAGTTATTTAGACTAAGCATAACCTTAAAGGATTGCCTTTCACACAACAGTCAACTAGACTAAGGATTATTACTGGCTGTTTTAAATGCATGTCTGCAGCACGTTGGCCGACACCAGTGTTCCAGTTGAAGATCAGGCCACTCCAGGAACAGACTTCTTGCAGATAGCTGGCAGTGTGACAATGGCAGACAATGTTACATCAGCCACCGTCTTTGTTACAATCCTCCATGTAAGCTGCATTACTGGTCCCTACATGATGTTTAATTACCTGACCTGTTGACTGCTGCAGGACAATGAACCAGAATTGTTCGAGACCTTTTGGGTGTCCCTGACCAATGTGACACTAATTAACGAGGAAGATAGACAGGGTAGCACCTCAAATTCCCCTCGACTGGACGTGGACTTGGCCACAGTGACTGTAGAGATTGCCGAGAATGATAATTCCCGTGGTCTCCTCCAGTTTGTCGTGAGTCAACTGAGCGTCGATGAGGATGTGGGGAGCATTCAGCTGGTGGTTGAGAGAGGTGACGGTGTGTTTGGCAGAGTGGCAGCAGATTTTAGTGTGGCTGGGATTATGGCCGACTCGGATGACTTCAGTCCGCAATCAGGGACGGTGGAGTTTGAAATGGCCGAGACCTCCAACAACATCACCGTCTACGTCGTCAACGACTCTGAGCCAGAGTTGGAGGAGGTAAGCATTGCCTATGATGGATCCTATGACGGATGGTCATGGTTTGATTGCTGTCTTTTGTGTCCACAGTCCTTCGTAATTTCTCTGGTGAACCCTCAAGATGGTGCTGCTATTGGTGACATGAACTCCGTCGTAGTAACAATCAACAGAAACGATGACGTCAACGGGGCATTTTCATTTGACAGTGTCCTTGTGAGCCACAATACACACACAAACACATTTTCACATACGCCATCTATCACCATCCTTGTACCCCATTACTTTCTGTTGACATAGAGATAGACATTTACCAACTTCTTCTTTCGTGGCATTTGTGTTCTCCTCAGATTCTGCTCCCAGAGAGTGAGGGTCCTGACGATCCAAATGGAGTGGCCACCCTCACAGTGCTACGTTCGAGTAGCACAGTGGGTGAGGTGACTGTCTACTGGAGAGTCAGTCAAGACGGGCTCATGGACCTCCAGCCTGCCAGTGGGAACCTCACCTTCAGAGATGTAAGTAATATCTGCACACACTGCCTCACAAGTGTACTTACATCGTCATACTCATTAGTAATGACTGTGGAAAATGGGTAGCCTGATGTTTTGCATTTGTAATAAGCACATGGAGTGAAAGACAGAAAAACCAACCATATTGAACACCTATACTAGCATGGGAGAGTGTATTAGAAATCAATCTATTACCATCAAGTAATAGTGGAAGATGGGGTGGCCTGAAAGTTAAATGAGAGAAGGACAAGACAATTGTTGTAATCTCAGGGTGAGAGTGAGCAGTCATTCCAAGTGCGTGCTGTTGCTGACGGGATCCCAGAACTGTTTGAGTCGTTTCTGGTGGAGCTGGTGTCCACTGAGGGGGGAGGGAGGATAGCTGACCCAAGCGAGGCCAGAATAGCGATCCAGGCCAGTGACGACCCCAATGGAGTGGTTGGGTTCGACAGCTACCCCAATGGAATCATCACTAACGAGGGGGACCTACTCACATTCAGGTAAAGGAGTACAAAGCTACAGACTATGCTACATGCATAATATCGAAAAGCACGTGACCGCCATCTCATATGCCTACATAATTATATCAGTATCTCTCAGCCATACTTATCTGTCCGTGCCAGCACTTATATACTTTACTTCTATGCCTGCATACATAATGTGTCGACAAAGAGGTATCAGGGCAAAGGCAAACCAAACAACAACACCTAGGACAACTCATCCACACTTACATACATGCACACTTGTACAGGAGCTCCATTGGCTTTTGAGAACCTCCATAATAATATATTGGATTGGCTTTTGAGATGATTGAGAACCTCCATAATAATAATTGGATTGGCTTTTGAGTTGATTGAGAACCTCCATAATAATAATTGGATTGGCTTTTGAGTTGATTGAGAACCTCCATAATAATATATTGGATTGGCTTTTGAGTTGATTGAGAACCTCCATAATAATATATTGGATTGGCTTTTGAGAACCTCCACAATAATATATTGGATTGGCTTTTGAGTTGATTGAGAACCTCCATAATAATATATTGGATTGGCTTTTGAGAACCTCCATAATAATATATTGGATTGGCTTTCGAAACGATTGAGAACCTCCATAATAATATATTTTGGTTGCAGGATTCTCCGATCGGCTGGTCTCATTGGTGAGGTGACAGCGACGTGGAGAATAACTCCCTCAGACACAACAGTCTTCACCACTGCTTCTACCACTGTGGTGTTTGCTGACGGGCAGTCTGAGGCTGTCATCACTGTTCAGGTCAGATCAGGCACTGGTTCATTAGCAGCTCTAGATTACAGGGGCAAATACTAAAGTATTTTGCAACTGATTTGCTTTACTGAAACTCTTTCAAACTGTAGACCATTTCTGATGATATTCCCGAGACTGCTCGTTTATTTTCGCTGGAGATCGAATCAACTGGACTAGCAGTAGTCAACGATAGTCTGTCGCAGGTGGACGTCATTGTCAGAGCCAGTGATGATCCCCATGGAGTGGTGGAGTTTACCCAGCCCTCGGCAGTGGTGACTCCAGAGACTGGTCTCACTCTCTCAGTTCCCATTGAGAGACTCAACGGACTTGTCGGAGATCTCGTCCTCAATTTCATCATACTTCAGTCTTCAACGGCATCAAGTCCCGAAGATTTTATTCTCCTTAATCATAGTGAGTGTTTTTTGTACCAACCAAAGTGACTTCATACTAATTATAGCAAACATGTGCTTCAACAACAAGAGCGTAACAGCATCTTTCATGAAGTAGTTTTACAAACACCGTTGGGGAGAGAGGGTGGCATGCTAAAAATAGCTTCCAGGGTTTCAGAAATAATCTTGTAATACGGTTTCTAACTCCTCTGCAGGCATTGTCATACCAGCCAACACAGGTTCATCAGAGCTCCTGGTCACTATCATTGACGACGTTCTTCCAGAGTTGGCAGAAACCGTCTCCCTCTCACTGTTGTCTGTGGAGCTCGCACAAGACATCGACGGCGGCAGGGACTTTAATTTCTCTGGAGACCCGGCCACTATTGACCAGTACCCCAGACTGGGTACCGTCACGCAGTACACCGTCACAATAGCCGAGAATGATGATCCGTACGGCGTGGTTTCTCTGACTGAATCGACACTGTTTGTCAGTGAGGGAGAGACTGCTCTCCTGACAGTCCAGAGGGCCGGAGGAAGCTTTGGTCTTGTCATCCTGACAGTCTCAGTTACTTCTGGCTCTGCAAACGCCGCCACCGACTTTTCTGATGTGTCTGGTTCGCTAGTACGACTGTCCCAGGATGAGACCACGGCTACAATTGCCATTCCTATCATTCAAGACACTACCCCTGAGCTTCAGGAGGATTTCACGGTGTCGATTGCTCTATCCTCTTCTTCGAGCCCGGCTGTCCTGGGTGCCATCACATCAGCAACTGTCGTCATCGATGCAAGTGATTCTCCACACGGGGAAGTTGGGTTTGTGGACCCACTGGTGTACCGTGAACACAACCCCGAGGACGTCCCATCACTCTCACTCTGTCAGTAGAGAGAGAGTTTGGACACATTGGACAAACAGAGGTAAAGTATTGCTCGCGTATATAGAGTATGTGAATTGTATCACAGAGAGTGTGTATAGATATTCGTGCATGTGTTACAATTGACTGAACCCATTACATATGACTGTATTGCATGTAGATAAGTGCGTTCTCTGTGCTGTATCGTCTGTGAGTTCCGACTTACTTGCTTCAGCTCTAAGCCCATGTTCCACTGGCTGACTACCTAGAAAAGTCCCAGATGATCCCCACCAGCTATGTACACGCAACGATATTTGTATGTGTATGCTGCAGGTGTTTTGGGAGGTAGTGGGGCCCTATCCAGGCCAGGAGATGTCAGATATCTCTCCAACTGGAGGTACACTCACCCTACAGAATGGACAGAGGTATATACGTAAGCTGCAGAAGAAAACTGTGGGTAAATTACATTATGCATGGTTGTATGCTCACTTTTTTAAAGTTGTGACTAACATTGCTAGATCCAAAGAATTCCCTTGTGTGTGTGTATAGTGTTGGCCCAATCATACTGGACATCCTGCCAAGCCAAGAGATGAGGAGGAGAAGACATTCACAGTGAATCTCCTGTCAGCCTCAAACGAGGTCGAAATTGACCCCGACAGGCAATCAGTCACCATCACTGTGGCCCAGAGAGGGATGCCATACGGAACGATTGGGTTCTTTGGAGATGTTCTCCAGCTCCACAAGGTGGACGAGGGAGTGGGGAGTCAGAGTGTGGCCTTTCCCATTGCTCGCACAGCTCCCGCACTGGGAGATGTCCACATCTCCTTTGTGGTCACTGGTAAGCCACAGTCTTTCTCTCTCACCCTCATTGCATCCAGACTACAACTTGCCGTATATATTATGTAGCCCTCTCATACTGTATTGGTGAACCTCTATATTATGCTGGGACCATGACATTAGAGGTGCCCTTTGATAGACAAGTAGTGTAGTAGAACCTGATAAAAGGTATAGAGAGATTACTTATTCGGAGTGCCCTACTGAAGCACACTTCTACCACCATCATTATAATATGCCTTTTGCACACTGCAGGAGTGACCGATCCCAGTCTAGACGTGTACCCGTCCTCAGGAACTCTCCTGCTGGCCTCTGGACTGAGTCGAGTAGACTTGAATCTCGAGATCCTGGATGACAGCGACCCAGAGCTTGAAGAGACCTTCACCGTCATACTCTCTCAGCCAATTGGTGGAGCCACCCTCAATCCCCTTGCTGCACAATCTACTTTCATTATCAGGTAATGTACTGCATTCATAGACTCATAATGTGGGGTTAAAGGTGCATAGGTATTACTTATTGATTACTTTTATTTCATTTTTAGGGCAAACGATGCACCATACGGGAGATTCAACATCACCCAGCCCTCGATATCTGTGGATCAAGCAAATTTCCCAGAGATCTCGCGTACTTTTGCCTACACAATTGTGAGGCAGAATGGACTCATTGGAGATGTTTTGCTCAACGTCCTCACCACTTACACCCCTGTAAGTAGTTGCAAGAAAATAATATGCAACAGACTATTATAACTGACAAGAGAAGAAAGGGTTGTGTTAGATGTAAACATCTTTTCAGTTTTTGTCAGTTGCACCCTAGTGATAATTTCAGATGCAATGTACTAGAGATGGTTTTTTCCACGACGCAGGATCCAGCTGCTGGATATGTTGAAGAGTTTTCTGCTGTCATTGCGGATGGGAGGCTGGAGCTGCAAGTGGAGCTACCTGTGTCTCCCACTGCCTGCATAGCCCCTGGTTCTCTCTTTACCATCTCCATCACCGGTGCCTCACTGCAAGGCCTAGAAGGTTTGTGCAGTATACCAGGTTTTTCGCCAGCAAAAACCTGTTTGTCGAAATCCAAGGACTGATAAATTTTACACCATTAACACTGTGTGTCTGGGTCACGCAAGAACAAACATTAGCCCATGAAAATCCATTTTACTTACTTGAATGAAAACTAAAAATAAACACTATATAGCTGTATCACAGTATATACCTTGTGTGTTTCTATGTTCAGCACAAGAAGGGTTTGGACCGGAAATCGTAGGCCCAGCAGAACTTGTGGTGACTGATAGTGTGGGCAACGCTCTGATTGGCTTCAACTCCAGCTCACTAGCAGCCACCATTGATGAGGGTATATACACTACAACACGACTTACTAACTAACCTAGAGCCTCGGTAATACACAAACACCTTTGTACCCAACCAGAGTCTAGTGCCTAATTGCAGCCTCCCACATACATAAGCGTAGTCTACCGTAGTCTATAGTCCGTACATTTGTGCAAGCACAGATAGTCAGCATTTTAAACATTTTGCAGTTAAGTAGTGTAATCTTGTCCTCTCTGTCAATAATTAGACTCCACAGAAGGGAACAACGTGGCCCTGACGGTGGTACGTAGAGGAGAGCTGGGTACAGTGATGGTCTACTGGATGACAGGGCTACCTGGCTCCCCTCTCACAAACGGCTCCATCACTCCAGTGCACGGGAGCTTCCAGATGTCACCCAGTGACACCTCGTCCCAAATCCTCTTGACTGTGAGTATAAACCACCTTCCCCTTGTACTTTGTAACTTACTAAAAACTTTGTCCTGTATGCAGGCAACACCACGCTCCCCTCATGGAGTCCCAGAGGTGTTTGCAGTGTGGCTGACTGTAGAACCAGTTGTCCCACTCTCTCTGCCAGCCAAGGTCAATCCCACCACTGGTACATCTCTCCTTGAGCCCAGTGGAGTGGTCCAGTTGGCAGCCAGTGTCTTCTCTGGAGTAGAAAGCTCTGGAAATGTAAGACTTGTGTTGAATCCCACGTAGAGGAGCTCTTTGAAAACGAGTTGTCGTTTGGTTTTCTTAGGTGTAGTTGTGTTGTTTGCCTTGGCTTTGCCTTGATGACACATAATAATTATGGTCCATCCAACTCTCTCATCAGATCCAAGTGACTGTCCAGAGATACTATGGGTCAATGGGGAGCATCCAGGTGTTTGGAATGGCTACAGTTGCAGGGAACTCCTCTGTCCCAGCCAACACAGAGGCTGCTGTTGATAACACCGACTTTGCTGCCACTCTGGTACAAGTGACCGTACCTGACGGGAGCACGTCTGGCGTCCTTTCTGTGCCAGTGTTTGACAACCAGGACTCTGGCCCTCTCAAAGTCTTCCAGTTCACCCTCACCTCTGTGGTGGAGGTACATTGTCAACTTGTTGGAAATTTGAATAAAACGGAATATTGCAGTACTAAGGGCTGAATTTAGAACTTTTAATAGGGCCCAATGCAATTTGGTTTCCGTTTTCAAGCCATATCATGCTGCCACTTTCTCTTTAAGAACTCATTCATTTTCATTCTTCACCATTAGCCGACCTGTGTCTCTACCTTACCACACATTTCTTGAACACAGGACTAGCTGAATCATCTCCAAGACTATCGACAGTTGGACCTCTATCAGCTCTGCTGACAATAATAGACGATGAGGCGGGGGCAGGTCTGTTCCGCCTGGAGCCGACGTCGGACACAGTGGAGGAAGAGGACAGGAGGTTCTCATTCTCCATCTCCAGGGAGGGAGGCAACCAGGGAGGGTGGCAGTGGTGGTCCAGACCGTGGAGGGAAACACTCAGGATGAAAGTGAGAGCCAAACTGTGTCAACTGGTCTTAAAGGGATGTGGCAGTACATATATAGGGCCCATTGAAATAGGTTTTTAGTAAATTCTAAAGTTAGCCCTCATAATAATTATACTGCCACATTCCCTTTAACCTGAGAATCTAACCACTCCAGCAATGCCTTCATACATAGTGATAACTATGATTTCATCTGCAGGTAGTGAGCCAGCGACAGATGGGGTAGACTACACTGGTCTCCCTCCTCGAGAGGTCGTTTTCGAAGACGGCGACTCAGTCACTAAGATCTTCTCCATTAGCCTGACCGACGACACAGAACCTGAAATAGACGAATACTTTACTGTGGTCCTCTCTAATCCACCTGGTGGCTCGGCCCTCATTGACCCTAATGCTGTGAGCCACACACTAAAGCATTTACATACCTAGTTCCTATCACCACTCATAAACATCAAGGCTTTGTCATTCCACTGCCTTGTGCTACAAGAACAATTTTCCCACTAACACATCAGCAATTTCAAGACTAGCCACCTCTTACCAATAGCACAGCTAACTTTAAACTTGTTGTCATTCCAGGACAGGGCAGTGGTGACGATATCAGCCAGCGACAGTCCGGGAGGAGTGTTCTCCCTCTCTCCAACAGCCATCACCCTCTCCGAGGAGACTGCCTCAACCGGCAGCCTCACAGTCCAGAGGACTGGTGGAACCCTCACACAAGTCGAGATAGAGTGGGAGGCTGCGTATACAGACGGGGAGATCCACGACACGGCCATCAACAGAATACTGGGACAGGACAGAGCTACCCTGACTTTCCCTGTGGGAGTCACTTCTGTTGATATAAACCTTACTCTCCAGCCCAATAGCGTGAGCATTTCTGAACACATTCCTCCAACCACCTTAACAAAAGCAGGAAGAAATAATAATGAGCTATCCATATGTACTCTTGCGTGCAGGTGCCAGTGAGTGGGGAGGTCTTTACCCTGCGTATTCAGTCAGACGACGCCGGCATTGAATTTGGTCAAGACACGGAGGCCACAGTCACAGTGCAGGCCAAGCAGTCTTCTCTCTTCCAGATCACTGCTCCAGACATGTAAGATATCATAATTATGAGCCATCAGAAAAAATGAGTTGTTTGCTTTGCCTCGTGCCTTTTTACTATGCTCTGGGGTGGGCATTGCAAGCTGTACGTAGGTATATTTTAACTGTAAAGTAATGTACAGGTATTATAGGTTGGGTAAATAATGTGTTTGTACACACGTGTGTTGTTTGCCTGCAGTAAGAAGGTGGTGACAGAGTCTGGAGGTGTGACAGTGGGTGTGGAGAGGTTGAACGGGACACAGCTGACAGCCAGTGTCCAGTATGCCACTGTGGAGCTGCCAGGGAACAGAACCATTGGACAGTTGACTGTGCAACCAGCTCAGTTTGGAGTCCACTATACTGCGACTGCTGGGAGTCTCACTTTCACAACATCTGCTGTAAGATTCATGCAATGACACTTTGGCGTTCTCTCCGTTCGGCAGATTAACTATTATGTTCCTTTCCTTAAAGTCACCACAACTACAAAAGAGCAAGCTCTCTTTTCACATGGCACTATCACTTTTCATTATTGTATCAAACTGGAGGATGTGCTGTAGTGAAAAAAACGTGTGTATTGTCTTTACGCAGATTTCAGCAGACATCCCACTCAATGTGATAGATCCCAGAAGTCGCTTACCCTCGAGCGTTCAATGTTGTCATTTCAACCTCCGAACCACAGTGAGTCCTATCCGTCTGTGTAGCTATCTCCTGGTGTTGAGTCTCATCTCCTGCATCTGCCAGTGATGTGACGAACTCTGAGGCTACTCTGGTTCTCTCTCCTCCCGGGGCCCTCAGTCGTCTCATCGATATCTACTTCAACACACTAGAATCGTCAACTACAGCCCAACTCGAAAGGCAAGCATTATTAACCTATGAAAAAGCAATACAGACAATTTATTCATCTAATCAATGTATTGCAGCTAACGTAGTTTACATTTTGCCGTGTGTCTCATAATGCCCAGTGTGACAAACAGTCTGTATAAGCTGCTGAGTGAGGGTACACTGGTTGGGAGCCAGGTTCAGTTTGTGAATGGAGAAAACCAGCTCCAGTTTGAGGTGACACAGTACATCCTCCGTGAGGTCACCACCAAGGCCAGTGGCAGGTTGGTACTCATACTGTTGACTGCTGCACAGCATGCACTATAGCCAAGTAATGGATGTGAGAAGCACATAAAAGTTCAAGTTCTCAAAGAGACTGTCTCTGTGACAAGTGTTCTGTCTGAACATGCAGGTACACAAACTCACTGACTGGGAACATGTCAGACATCTTTCAACTCGTCCTGGACGATGCGACGTTTTCCGGGAGAAGCGAGTTTGTGGAGACGATGAAGTTGTTTGGTTACAGTCTTCTGGACGGAGAGCCTTGCAACACTGAGTATGTCTTCCAAAAGTGGTTTGTCATGAAGCTAGCAATGAATATTTCCTCCAGTTTTCCAGTGACAAAGACACTGTCGCGACTGTTGTTCCATCTTGTGGTAGAGAGGCTCCCTCCCGCCAGCCTAGCCCAGAGGAGGTTCACCGCCAGCTTCAGCAGTGACAACGACGACTTTGTCAAGTTCCCCAGCGACAGCATCTTCCCGGGCAGCTCCCTGGCTGGCATTGAGGTATGATTTTTGGACACACAGTATATCCTGGTGGTGCTCCTTTCCAATTACTGGTTGATTACAATTCCAGTGTGTTGATGTTCACTATATTGAGTTGGTGGAGGAGAGAATATTGCGAGAGTCAACACTTGACAGCAAGGTTTGTGCATTCATCCAAGCTCTGTCTGCTATATTCTATCATTCTTGGTGTTGTAGGTACTGTCCATTGGTATTCGAGGCCAGTCCTCCCAGACACAGAGTCCTGTGACCTACCGCATCTATACCGACACTAAAGTCATGCCACTGGAGAATGAGTATGCCAGTCATGCACTCAATACAGTCAGAAATCAACCACTTCTCCCTGTAGTTGTCTGCTGTGGAATAGAACCTTGAGGACTTGGGATGACAAAACCTGCAGAACTATCAGGGTATGTATGGTGTTTTTCCTATAGTAAACTGTGATATTGATAGACCAACATAACAACGTTTTGTTGGAGTATCAACGCAAGATGTTTCTCTATTTGGTGCAGTCTGGTATTCTGCCCACACGGAACAGCTACGTGGAGTGTGAGTGCAATAGACTGGGAGAGTTTGCAGTTGTGGAGGACGTGGAGAGAGGCTACGGTTGGACCCTCTCTGCTGGATTGATTGCGGCTTTTGTGGCTGTAAGCCAGTATAGCTACCTCTCATACATCATGAATGTGTGTACTTCCCTCCGCTGGCCAGGTTGTTACGATGATGGCGATCTGTGTCCACGTGTGCTACTTTCAGAGGACTCAGCTTGTCACCAGGATCTTTGTCATGCTCTGTGTCTCTGTTCTACTCTACCAGGCAAGAGCTAGCTAGCTAGCTCATAGCAATCTTGCACAAAACGTAGCTATTACTCTGACTGTGTCACGAACAGGTGATGTTGCTGGTGTCAGTGTTTGCCAGTGACCAGCCAGACACCACAGAGAGTGGCTGCACTGCCATTGCCATCGTCCTCCACCTCACAGTCATCCTCCAGTTTGCCTGGATCCTTGCTTTGGTTAGTTAATTCTCCACACTGACTACTTGCTGTGCTAGCTACCTGCATCTCCATGCTCTGTATGTAAGGTGATTTCCCCTGCCATAGGCTGTGTCACTGTGGACCAACTTCATGGGCATCACTGATGGAAAGGAGCCACTTGTCATCTATACCATTGTCTGCTGGGGTAATGATGAAAGACGAAAGTGTATGCATGTGTGGACCTTTTTTCTTTCCCCTCTCCAGTGGTGGCCATTCTGTGGGTAGTATCGACAATACTGATAGGGAGATTGGTCTCAATGGTCTGGAATTTTCAGATGTGTATGGTCTCGCTGGAGACTTGTAAGTGAACCAACAGAAGTAGCATTCTCTCACTGCTCAATAATTATCAGAGCTAGCAAAAACATAGGCTTCCTAGCTCGGTCCACTTCTATCACCTGATATAGAAGGCCTAAAGCCAACAAATGACCGTTCTTGTTGTGCTATGATAAGTTGCATAAGTATCATCATAAGTTCTTCAATCTTTTTCCTCTCGTCGCTCAAAATCAGTTTTCATCAAGCTGCTACACACCAGAGTTCTCAGTGTCCCTGGTATCAACTCTGCTGCCAGTGGTGCTGGCTATGCTAGCCACCATTGCCTTCCTCTCGCACTCCTGCGTCTACTGGTCTCGCTGGGAGGACTCCACAACATGTACCTCGACTCCTTCAACAAGACAGGTCTCACATAATCATAGTATCCATGCATTCGTAATACTGTAGTATGATGTAATGTCTTGGTTTT